CATTCTCGGACAAATCGACCTCTATCTAAAGAGACGGTCGATCCTGTATTGCGAATATGCTTGCGTGCAATTCGAATCCAGGAAGTTTAAAAGTATTTCGACGTAAAACGCGGCCATTTCTCATATTTTCTATGCAAGCACGCTCCGCCGGGGGCGCATTTGATACACTCTATTAGTTGCATCTCCCGACTGATTTATGAAGTTACTCTCCGCATTATTATACATTTCCCCCGTTTCGAAACTGGGATTTACCGCAGCGAAGTTTAGTGGCTCGCGTATATTCCATTAGGCAAGGAAGATCAATAGATGTTCTGCCGGCTTAACATCTAAATTCTTAGAAATTCATATTTCATATATAGCGTACGAATAAAAACATTAAGGTCATATAAATACAATATAATACGAATAAATATCATAATCTTTGAAAAATCATATATTTTTTAATCAAATATTTCTACATGTATTATTTGAAATTTACATATTATTTCGGACACGTTTAATTAAATTTACTTTTATTTAACATGTCCTTATTAAAATTTTATATTTTATTTTATCAATTTTTTTTTCGCGCGCACGTGATAATTAATCTTTACGTTTTATGTAAATATTAATTATCACGATTAGTTACTAACAGGACCAAATCTTTAACACATCAATCAATTGCCAAAATAAATACCAAAGCAAAAATTATATTAATAAAATAATATAATCCTATGAAAATCTTAGAGACAAAAATTTTTACGCAGTTGAACATGAGAGATGTGTTTATAAGTAGGTATTTATTTATATTACAAAAATAGTTGGGTCATATTTAGTAAATAAATATATTATGTATAGAGCGCGTCTTAAGCGGCTCCTAGACGATTAATGTTATTATCCAATATTTGATATTGTACAATATTACTGATCGTCTAGAACCTGTGCTGAGCTTCTAGACAGTTTGTTTTAAATTGTTTAAAAAGAGCATCGATAATATTGTATAAAACAATTGTGCTAACGTTGAGCGTCTAGGTACCGCTTTATAAGTTATAATGATAATGAAGTATTAAGAAACTTCTCAGTCTTCTTCCTCTCATATAGTTCTGTAAATATCATCCTCAATCCTATAAGTTCTGGCAAGTTTACCTTAGGCGGCAAGTCTAGCTATCAGGATACCCAGACAACGCATTGAGACATAAGACGTCTTGAAGACGCCAAAAACATCTTATGTCTCTCTTTTGGATTCTTTATATTGTCTGGGTAGTTTTGGGATTGTTCATGTTTCTTTACGGACTTCCTGCTATATAGGCAGAATCGTCGACGAATGCGATTGTTCAAACATTAAAAAATGTTGCGAGAGGAAGGACGGTGACTTCGGATTGCTATTCGTGGACGTTGATACAGTATTTAACACGAACGATTCATAATTCGCATCTCTATCTTGCTCGTTGTACCATTGATTTCGGGCTGCTTCCACGACCATCCAGAAATACACACTCAACACTGTAATTATTGTCAATCATCTTTGTATAAAATATGTCATATTTTTTTTAGTTTAGGAAAATCAATATATTTTTACGACAGGTTTAATAATAGATCATTAAACATCATTCATAACCCTAAATGGATATTTCTTTCATTAAATACTTTCGTTAAGATTTCTTTTAGAGTAAAGTTTGCTTTGATAGTGATTCATAAAAATATATCTTTTCGATCTATTTATATTATCAAATAATTTTCAAACTTTTATTTTAAGAACAAATTAGATTAATAGCGTTTGTTTGTGTTTAATCAATAGACTTCATTTCAAAGGTAATATTCGGGATATAGATATATGTATTCAGAATTCAGTTTTCAAAATACAATATTTACATTAAATCATAAAAAAAGGTTAGAATACTTACTCAAATAGAGACTGCATGTCGTAGTATACCAAAAATATAAGGTAGTTCGTTGATCATATATCATATGATTGCACAGCGACACAGTCTGATCTATTACGCTACCCATTTGTAAATACATCCAAGGCACGGCGGCCGTATGTCTCTTCTGTGAACGTACGCGGAAGTTAGCGTGGTCGTTAGCGAGTTGAGACAAGGCTGTTACGTGCCCAAAATACATCTCGCGGATAAAGAATGTTTGACGAATTTGTATTCGATCGGCGATATCGCTACGACCTTTATCGTAAGAAAACAATGAAAATCGTATACTTCGCTTACGAAGAACAGAGTATTGTAAAAAATAATTTGCTACTAAATATTTTACGAAGAAAGAAATTAAAAGGTTTGTAAAATTTCTCGGAATACTTATCGGAATTTAAATAATTTTCAAAATTAATTTAGACATAAATAAATTCAAAATTACTATAAAGACAAAAAATAAACTGTATAGCAAAGTTATCTCACAAACTAGTTGAATAATCTTCCTTCGTGTAATCATAAATTAAACAGCTTTGGTTAACTTAAAATCGATTAGTTTTCGAGCAGAAAAAACTATTCAATTTTCTTTCGAACACTCACCGATAGCGATCCTATAGTGAGGAATATACTCGCTGACAGAAACAAGACGGCATATATGAGAAAACATATCAAGGCACTTTCCGCTAAAATGTACAACGTTACGTTATTCAGTTTGTGGAAGCAATTCGCGTATTTAATAATAAGCATGTTAAGTCTTACCTTTTTTCTTCCCCACTACGTACTTCTGCATTGCTTGCATCCAATTTAATCCTAGTATAGCCCAAGCCTTGGTAGATTCGAAAAAATCATCATCGCTATCTCTTGAAAAAAACTTGCTTACCAACACGTTTATTAATAAAATCGAAATGGACTGAAAAAAGAATAAATACACGAAAAGATGAATGATTTACAAATAAATATAAAAATATATGTATTAACATAATGATTGGTATAAATTTTCAAAACGGTATATCTTTGTACAAAAATATTTGAACGACTGTTTAGGAGTTACTCTTGTATTATCGTATTTTGCTTATTTTTTTAAATGAAATAGTTGCTTTACTACGAATAAAAATATCTCTAACGTAAAAGTAATACAGAAAATTTCCCTTAAAACGCATCTAAATTTTAGACTTAGAATGACGTAGAAAGTATGATTAATTAATTTGATTTTGAATTCAATAAAATAATCATCTATTATCTCGGCACCGGAAACATTATGTGTGTGCTTACATCAAAGGAGAATGAAGCAGGTTTTATATTCCACATTGGACATATTCTTGATGTGTAATTGTTATAACAATGTGACAATAATTATTGTAAACATTCACGTTTTCCGATATCACATTTCTTTTCTTCGATACGATTGCATTCGATATTAGAATCTAGTTATAGGTAATACGTGAATTAGATAACGCTGTATTATACGAATGTATGAAAAGAATATGAGGAGTTGAACACATGAAATCTTGAACTTACCATCGTATATGCTCCGATCATCCTCGCCGCAAACGACACGCCGATGCAACGCATCATGACGAAAAAATTATTCGTGTGATCGCTTTGCCTCGCGGATACAAAATGGAGCCGGATCTTACGGCGCGGGCGTCACTTTTCGTGTTACCTTGTCAGACAACACTTGCACGTTGTAAAAAGTGTAAACATACATGGACGGAGGTAAATACACATTTAAAGCGACAATCTCCAAAATTAATCTCTCTCACGGTTATACCGCGCGAGCGAGACCCCGATAACAATTGTCGTTATAATTAACAGGAATAATTAACGCTGTTTCGTCCATCGAATAACGTGATGATTGTCAGACAAGAGCCTGATTTGAGCAGGCGTCACGAGGAACAGAATCGTTAGAATCGTTCCGTATTGTTCGACTGTCGTAGCAATAATGTTGTCTCAGCTATTACAAACTGGAAGAAACGTATCATTGATACATCCATCATTGTAATCATGATAATCAAACACATCAGCGTTTTATCATATGTTTCTCAATAGAATTATCCCAAAGAAATTGTGAAGAATTTATCCAAAGGAAATTATACTTCAAAATTATATATTAAAGTACACTTTATCAAAATGTAAGTTTCGATTGTGTATACTATATATACACACGCGTGCACTTTATTTTCAGTTATAAAGACTAAATTTTGACTAATCGTTTTAATTACATTATAAAAATTCTATATGTTTAGAAAAAAAAGTATTGAAGTCCGAAATTTACATGATTTTTATTTCCAGAAAAAAATATAAAAACGTACATTGTATATATATAAATTACTTTAACAATAAATAGTAGACTTTAGTCTGAAAAATATGTAAATTAATAGTAAATTTATACGTTTATATTGACTTTAAATTAAATTTATATACATTTATTTAAAAATAAAAATCTCGTAAATTTAAGAATTTAAATAATATTTTCCATATATATAATTTATTTAT